GTAGTGCATGCGAATTGCAAAGTGGTTGTTAAAATTAACTGAGAGTTAGTTAAAAATATCACTTTTCAAACTATATCGTTAAAAATGTGTAAATTAGTTCATTCTCCATATGCAACTGTTAGGTTTCAGATGTAACTGATAATATATATATATATATATATATATATATATATATATATGAAGACATCTCCAAAGTCTCAGGATGGTCGGGGGTGGGTGCCTTGCGCTGCGGGTTGGCCACCCCTCCGCACACCTCTTCAAATGCTCCCATATGACCGAGCGTCTTACATAGCCTCTCCTGAGGAAGTCCTACTCACTGCCTTCACGTGGCGGAGGTGTTTTTCACCAAAGTGTGAGGGCGAAAGCGGATGCCCGGCGCTCTTCACCGGGTTGACTGTCCATTGGATGACAGTCTAGGGGAGACGGCTAAACCCTGATTCCAAACCTCCAACGACTGGCGTATGAAGCTCACTGGAGCTCACCGGCAGACGTATGGACAAAGGGCTTGTTGGATGTCCTGGATGTCTGGCCCCATTCAAAAAGGCGTATGAACCGAACTCCGGTCACCGGCTTCCAATGGATAGTGGACTCCCTACTCCACTCCTACTGCCTTGTAGGTCACACTTGGTTGTGTAAAGGCTAGAGCTGCACTCTCAAACAAAAGGCCGAGCGATTCTGGGGACATCACTCGTACCAAATTCCCATGAAACTTCATGAACTCCCTTACAAACGTGGTACAGTCAAGGCTGATATGGAGTACCTGGGACTACAAACCGTCTACGGACTCCGTCTGTGGAACAAGAATTGGATAACCCTGTCGCAAAACCTTGAATTAGATCGCCGCGCCTGGGCAGCGATGATTCGAGGTGTTCATGAAGCCGGCTCATCCTCCCGTAGGAGATAGCCGAAGTAAAGTAAGTAAGTATATATGAAGACGATGGCAGAGTGATAGAATATGATACAAAGTACCCTAATGTGAATTTTTGTGAAAAGTAAGTCACTTGGCGCATACTACGCATACAAATACCACTAAGAAATACGAGCAACTGTAAGTCAATCACCTCAAATAACAATATTTGTTCGCTTAATTTAAATCTGTTTAAGTCCTCGAAGACTGTTTCACTGATTTAAAGTCAATCTCATCAGTATATTAACTAACTAACTAACTAATTCAGCTATGATAGCTGTGAAATTGTGGAGAAAGCAAGAACAGCGAATGTTGAACAATAATATGAGCTCATTTGGTATTGACTGACTGATTGGTTTCAACATAGAACTTTGCACCGATGTGCAGCAGTTCGAGTTGCCACACTCCATGTAGCACACAAAGCAAGAGAAGAAAGTAAAAAGAAATGCAAAATAGAGACAGTAAACAGAGATATGAGGCAAAAAGAATAGTAATATCGAAGAACAATACAGTTTTATTGGGTATTATAAGTCACAAGAAGTGGATGCATCTGCTCCAGCTATTGAGAACGACGATTTTGATCCATATCACCGATTGTCTCCAATCTTCATTAGTTTTCACCATCCCAAGGACCTCAACTAGGAAGTCTACACCTTCCTACGTGACTTAAACTAACTTTTATGGATTTCATTGACTGATAAAGCCGTGTTTTTGTTTGACCGCCGCTAGCTCTTTTCCACCGTGACCCAATGTCAGCTTACTTTAACCGTCGAGGAAGGAGATGACTAGAGATGCATGCGTAACATATGTCCTAACCATCTCAGTCGATATAATTTCACACCCTCGTCGATTCATTTCCCCTCCTTCCCTAGCACTTGATGCCTAACCTCAATATTGCTGACCTTATTATACCACTTCACACGGGAGATAGAACGCAGACACCAATGATCAAAGACAGTTAATCTTTTCATGTCTTCCATTCTCAATGGCCAGGTCTCGCTCACAGCCATAAAGGAGGACGGAATGCACTGCTGAGCAGTACACACGTCTTTTCATTGACAGCCAGTTGGATATCACGTGTATGCCAGAGATGGCGTAAACTGGCATATGCGAAATGAGCCTTCTGTATCCGTGCTGAGATTTCGTTAGCCATCAACCCTGTGGCGTTGGCTGATGCAACTCCCCAAAATAAGTCAAGCGGTCAACGTGCTCTACCACTTCACTTCCTATTTCTAAACCAGGAGTCTGTGTAGTCCAGTCCTGTATCATCATCTTACATTTGGCGGGAGCGAATCGCATGCCAAACATTCGTAGATTGCTGCTGAACGTGTTCAGAAGACTCTGCTGTATTTTGTCAGCGTCCTCGCCTAGAAGGACTATATCGTCTGCTTATTCTAAGTCAACCAGATTATTCCCTGGTGGTAGCAAGTCAATCCCTGAGTCTCTGAAGTCAGTGAGGGTTAACTCCACTAGTACATCTATGATGAAAGTGAATAGAAATGAGGATAGTGGGCATCCCTGTCGGACACCACAGGTTGTCACTAATTCAGATAACAACTCGCTGTGAGCCCTCACCTGGCTGCATGGGTTCGAGTAGAGTGCCCTGATCAGTGCAATGTATTTCCTCGGCATTCCCTTTGCAGCCAAGCATCGTTTGGCATTATTTTTTTGGAGGGGTGTCTATTCCTCCTCTCAACAGCTTATAAAATAAGTGATGTTATATATATATATATATATATATAAACTACAAAACGGGTGTAACTTACTTTTGTCACGTTGACAACAACTTCTTACTAGGAACTATTACTAGTGAGTAACATATATCTTGAATAATGTAAGTAGTCAAATCATTTAGTTTTAAAAAGATTGGTTTTTTATAAGATAATTAAACGAATATTCTTAAAAAGAGGAGAGAGGAAGAGTTCAGAATTTGACCAGAATTATAGGGAAGAGGGGATTGATCATATCCAGCTGCCAAGGTTGTATACTTCTGCGACACTCAGAAGTTGATCAATTCCCATCTTACGTTACCTCCACCAACTAATTTACATGTCCAGAGAAAAGGGTTTATTTTTGACATTTCTCAATATATACCTCAATACCTGAGACTAACTGGCTTACATTTACTAAACAGTTTGAATGCATGTCATATATGGCACAGCCTGCTGCGGTATTCAAAGTAATTAACAGATGTAAGAACCCCGGACTGCTACGTTTTTATTGAAGCAATCGTCATCAAACGGTTGAAACCAAATCTATGTACTCAGGAAGAGACATTGGTCATGTTTGCACTACCTTACTGATAATACTTACAAAACAAACTATTATTATTATTCCTTTGAGTTTCTAGTGGAACATAAGGCTCCAAGAGGACATCCCCATTTTATCCTGTCCTCTTTGGCTGCTCCCACGGCTTCCCATAAGCTTGCATTTCCTCCTTACACAATCTCCTCCTTGTCCACCTTGGATACACACCCAACTTGTCGTTTCCCATTCGCGTCCCACTTAAACGCTTGTCGCACGATATCACTCACAGGTCTCTTCAGAATGTGTCCAACTCACTTCCATTTTCTCCAGAATATTTGTTGAGCAATAAGTTCTTGGTTAGTTAGTTCCTAGATTTTCTGCCAATTCCTTATGGTCATCTGATCTTTAGTATGGAGCAAAGGCAGCTGTCGATAAAAATCTATAGCCTTATTGGATATACTTTTCGTGAAGTACCCAACACGTTTCTGACCCATAAAGAATAACTGAATGGTTTAACATTGGTGTTGAAAATCCGAATTTTGCTATTGATGCTGAGTGTGGCAGATTTCCAAACTGATTTAAGATTGATGAAGGTGTACCTTGCCTTTCCGATTCTGCTTTTGACATCCTCATGCGTACCGCCTATAGTTGAAAATATGCTGTCTAGATTGTTTACAATTCTTATTACGTCACGTATTCTTCTGTATCTTTTTATCTAGATATCACTTGCCTTACTCTTCTTGCTATCGTAGTCATACAATCTGTTGTACAAACTTACTATTTCTATTGCAACTTTGCTTCTATGCAAAGTTCTGAACTCTGTCTCTCTTCCCATCTTTTTCCCCGAATATTCGTCTAATTATCTTCTAAATAGTGAAAGCTAGGTGGGAGGGCATGTGTCAACTTGGTGTAGTTCTAGCGCTGTTGCCATTTTACTCTGGCTGTCAAAGGTGGTGTATACAATGATTCGGTGCGCTTCTCTGAGCTGAAGATGTACGGTGACTCTGCATATTCGATCATCGCTGCCTCCAGCTGCCTTATCTTGCTAGTAATTCTGAGATCTGGCAGAATGTGTTTAGACATCGTGTAAAAATCATCTCTCATTGATTGTGGTCATTTTAAAACACTAGCCGTGGTGGCTTAAACATGTGCTACGTATTTTATCCCAGAGGCTTCCATACCGCTTCCTGTTTGCTAGCCCTGAGACTGGATGGAAAAAGCTGAGAAATTGGTCAGCCTATGTATCTGCGTTAGGTTAGCATCCAAGACTCCCTGGGTCGAGTCTTAGAGATATTTTGAATCAGAGGCCCGAAACCTTATCAGATATGGCCGAGAATTACAATCAGCGGAATTTCCTTCTTCACCCCCTTTATGAAAGTAACATAAAGTGATGAGTGTTGAATGATCTCGACAAATATGCTTATTTGCTTTCTGGATGACTTCCATCATTTATTCTATCCCTATTTTTTTTAAATATTGCTGTTTTACTATTGTAATCTGGCACGTCGTCTCTTGGTCCCTATAATGTACGGTGTTTGTACTTTTTAATAATAATAACGTAATTGGAGTATGTGTTAGGCGTGCCTAACCACTGCTTCTTCTTTCGATGAACAACACTGACTAACTAAATTAGGGCCACATCAGAAAGAGAATTAAGGGTGGTCAGACCAAAGTACTTAACTGAAATCGCTAACTGAACGTATTTCCAATAGTGCAATCAGTTGCTCAATTGTGAATTTCATTGTATTCATCTGCTAGTGGTTTATCACCTGGAATTGTCTTACTTTTTATCATGCATTGCAATAATTTATTATATTTTGTTTTCCTCTCCCCCCACTTCTTCTAGCTGTCCACGTGTTTTACCTATAGGCAAATTGATCCCCTACAAAACCAGTGTCATCATTGTATTCCATAATGAAGCTTGGTCAACATTGCTACGTACTGTACATTCTGTTCTTGACCGTACACCATCAGAATTACTTGAAGAGATTATTCTTGTCGATGATGCTAGTACTCAAGGTAGTTAGACATTTCAATAACATTTTCTATTTTCGACATTAACTTCATATTATTATTATTATTATTATTATTATTATTATCCTGTTCTTGCATGCGATTGATGAGTTTTGTAACTTAATAGCAACTTGCGATTCCATACAAAAGACAATGAGCGACATCTTTTGTGTTAAGGCCTAGGGTGACAATATCTGGCTTCACAAACCCCTCAGAAGTTGAGGTGGGTTTCGGACCCATGACCCAGTCAGTGGTTTGGAATTCGATTGCCTAGACCAACAAGCCACAACTCCACATAAGTTAGGCAAATGAGTGAAGCTTAGTGTCTGCGTATCGCAAAACTCAGCGTATATAATCTCTCACCTCTAAGTGTACTTTAGGTATGCTTCATGACTGACTAACTAACTGTGCTTCAACGTACGACTTTGCACAGAAGTGCAGCAGTTCAACTTACCACACACAGTTCCGTGGATATGGGTCATCATAAAGAGGGAATGCATCTACACACAGATTTTTGAGCCTTATCACCAATAATGCCCAGTCATCGGTTCTCTGAATCCCCCGAGGACCCCAACCAGGAGGCCTATTCCTCCCCCTACGGGGTTGGTTCAAACCGACAGTCAAATACCTCATGGGTTGTTGCCAGTTGTTAGTTTGACCTGTGCTTACCTCTTGCCCAACTAACCCTATGTCGGTTAATAATGATCAACAAAGGAGACGGGAGCTTAGCATGCATCTCACTTACCCTAACCATATGAATCGATGCAGCTTCAGAACCTCCTCGATTGTCATCCCTTCCTCACCTAACACTTTACGTCTAACCTCGTTATTGTTCAATATATTACACCATTTAACACGGGAAACAGAGTACCAATTTTCGAGATCAAAGACACTCAGTCTCTTTATATCTTTCGCTTTCAATAGTCATGTCTCACAGCCATGACAACTGATATCAGTTTTGTATTACTAAATTGTTGCGGAGTCAGGTGACGATATTAACCGATTTGTAGAGAATAAGTTGGCTTCCATAGTTTTGTCCGGGATTCTTTCTCTCCTGAATCATATAGACTCGTATCTCAGAGAGGTAAAAGATGTTTCATCACGTTTGCGGGTAAATCGTCACCTTGACAAATCCCAAAAAGCAAAACCACTGGGGCAAGCATTCATTTCAGACTGATTCATTTAAACACAAAGTATGCAGATTTCTGCGTCACATATGTTCTACTTAAAATAAACAGAGTGCTATAAGACTAAATAATTGGAAATACATCAGAGATAATATATTATGATCAAGTGGAAATGTAGGCAAATCATATTCTGACCAATTGCAACTCTACGCATCATCATCCCAGAACAAAGCATGGAATGGCAATCAAACCTCTACCTCAACTTTAGAGACTTTGAGAAGGCCTTCGACAGCGTTGACCGTGAAGTAATTTGGAAACTACTCGAGTACTACGGCGTACCCCAAATATTCATCAACCTTATTGAACAGCTGTACGACAATAGCGCATGTCAAGTGATCCACAACGGAAAACTCAGCGAGGCTTTTTTTGGAGTAAACACAGGAGTCAGAGAAGGGTGCTTATTATCACCAATGATATTCCTAATTGTGGTGGACTGGACTGGATTATGCGTTAGACAGTGGGAAACGAGAAGACAGGGATATCCTGGACCAATGTGAAGAATCTAGAAGACTTGGATTTCGCGCGTGGATGATTTGTGTTTGATGTCACACAAAATCCAAGACCCACAAGCAGCAAATACAGGACTCCAGGTGAGCATAGACAAGACGGAGGTTATGAAAATAACCAACCAACAGCAACAACAACAGCAGCAACATCCAGCGCCAATCACCATCAACGGGAGGGATTTGAAAGAGGTTACTTCATTCACTCACTTATCTAGGGAGCATTGTCTCAACTACAGGAGGAACGGACGAGGATGTCAAATCGAGCGAGAATCGGGAAGGTGAGAAACACATTCATGAACATGAAACCAATCTGGAAATCTTCGTCACTCAACTCACCATCAACAACAAAATTCGGATTTTCAATGCAAACGTCAAGTCAGTTCTCCTATACGGATCAGAAACTAGGTGGGTCACAAAGAATATTTCCAACAGCCTGTTGCAGACCTTTATCAACAGTTGTCTTCGTTCTATACTCAAGATCCGATGGCCGGAAAGAATCACCAACAAGAAACTATGGGAACAAACAAAACAAGAACCAATCGCCCAACAAATATGCAGGAGGAAGTGGAGATGGATTGAACACTCGCTGAGGAGGCCGTTGGGTGACATCACGCGTCAAGCCATCGCTCGAGTGGAACCCGAAAGGGAAGCGTCGAGTGGGACGTCGAAGGGTGACATGGAGGCGATCGTGAGAAGAGGAGTTGAAACAGTATGGAGTAACATGGATGCCGGTGAAGAGTACAGCAGAAGACAGAAGCAAGTGGAGACGTGTCGTTGAAGCCCTATGTTCCACTAGGAACCCAAGGGAATAATAAGTGGAAATGTAGGCAAAAATGAATCCACACCAGTATTTCAGATTTGAAGCTGTAACAATAGATTACATAGTTGAATGGACCCCGTTGAGGCGATCTACCCTGTTTGAACATTGGCTCAGAACCGCTTATAATGGTGCATATTTATTCAATTCTTATCTTAAGGTTGCTGGAAATGTTCGATTGTTATTAATATTATCATTACCTTGGGTCCCGAGTGGAACATAGGGCTTGACCAGCACATCTGCATTTCATCGTGTTCTCTACAGTCCTCTCTAGCTGGCTCCACAATTGCTCATAAGTTTTCCTCGTCACATGATCTCTTCAGTGTGATGCCTCGTCTAGTTGACTAGCAGGTCCTAAGCCCTAGAAAAGAAGGGAGATTAGACGTGTGGAGCTGGCGAATCTACCCCAGAAAAACAATCCAGTTGTTGCAGAAACTTTAAAGCACTGAACACATTTAGTATTCTTCGTCTGTTGTAGCACTACTGGATTTCTGTTCTCCTGTTTGCCTTGAGTATTTTTGAAGTTATAGCATAGTAAAGTAAAGTTTAAATGTATTTTGGCCAATGTGATTGATTATGAGTTTTATCGCGTTTGAAATCAATTTTCCGGAATAGGTGTCCCATATACCAAATTAAAAGCCAAACGTACTGTGTAAGGACGGATGATACTACTCAGTCGTCACGGCTGAATTAGATGGTATAGGACTCAAACCTGGAACTGACTGCTTAAGCAAATGACGCACATCTCGAACTCTGTGTATGCGATTATTAGTTCTCGGTTGTCCAAGTCGTAGAAGTTGGTTTCCTCTTGGGTTACCTGAAACTAGAGTACCAATGTTTAGGCCGGTCACCTATGGCTTGTTTAAAGTGCTTTCTGAAGTTGTATCCGCATTAAGATCTCACCGTCGGCTGTGGACCGCTGAAAGTCAAGTTGGGGTGTACAGTTTTCGAAGTCAACCTTTTGCTAACCACTCATCTCCAGTGCGGTGAGGCAGCCTATTTAAGATATGCTGGTCATATGAGGCAAATACCTTACTGCTGTGACATTCCTATTCATCAACAGTACGATTTCGCCTTTAGACCCCCCCCCCGGCCCCCGCAACATAGTGTAAACAAGTTTCATTATGATGGAGGTCAACAGCACTCAGCATCAAAAATAAGATCCGGATTTTCAACTACAATGTGAAGTCAGTACTACTCACAACACGGATCAGAGACTTGCACTGCGCGTCATAAAGAGCATCTCAAACAAACTACAGACCTTCATTAACAGTTGTTTTCGCTCAATAATTCCCTCAAGATCAGATGGCCAGCTGGCCCGAAAAGATCAGCAACAGAGATCTCTGGCAATGAGCGAACCAACACAGCAGGAACCGATTGTGAAACAAATAGGCAGGAAGAAATGGAAATGGATTGGCTGGCCATACTCTGAGGAAACAAACCATCAAGTTACATCACAAGACAAGCCATTGCTCCAGTGGAACCTGAAAAGGAAGCGGCGAGTTGGTCGTCACTGCAAGGGTGACTTGAAGGAGGTCATGTGAAGAGGAGGTGAAAAGGTGTGGGCAGACTTGGATCCAGGTGAAGACTCTAGGAGAGAACCGAACGCAATGGAGACGCACGGCTGAAGCCCTATGTTCCTCTAGGAATTAAAGGAAACAATAATAATAATTATTATCATGATGGTTAATGGTTTTAGTTTAATCACTATCCAAACGATCTTAATCAGTGCAGCAGCTCTTTGAATCATTGTGATATGCGAGCCCAACCACCAACCGCATCAACTTACCACCTATCAGTTAAGATAGGATTTTTTTTAAAAATTAATTTTCGTTGCTTTGAGAATACTAGTCAAACTACCTATACACTCGTCGACACTGTTGAGGCTAACAGTGGGATGGCCTCATCGAACGATGTTGACAGAGGGAAAGAGAAAAGAACACGTGCTTACAAATAATTGGTGTTGAGCAGTCCATTAGTTCAGTAGTAGTTTCTCTGTAAGATAACTACAACTGTGTTCAACTACACAGTTTTCATAGTGTAAAACATTGTTACAATGAGGTAGGTAGGTAGTTATTTTTTTCATGATGTGAATAGGTAAATCAACGTTTTCTATAAGCTAGTCGATGTTAATATTTTTCGACATAAATCAATTTCCGTTTTCTATGAAATATGCTATACTGACTGCTATGGTTACCGTGTTTGCACGGGCGCGCGCGCTCGTGTGTGTGTTGTATACACGTCGAATGTTGAATCATTCTAGGCGGGGATTGTTTTTTTTCTTTTTCAGAAAGCATGCGATTCATATATTCATATTCTCTTTATCAATTACTCGCTGAAATGTTTTCAAGAGAATTAATAAATAGGAGTGGTCTCTAGACTAATTGAGCCACAGTAAAAAGAATCGAACAGTGTATTGTATTGTATTGAGTATTGAATGATCGATTAATTAGTTGACTTATAATACATCTAACGTGGTAGTAGTCATAGAATGAT